AAGAAGTCTTACTCCAATATATGCTAGTCAATATTTAGGTTATCAGGATTTTGAATTTTGTGCTAATTTGATAAAAATAATGTTGCATTTGATCAGTTTCAAATTATGTTTGTATGGATTCTGTTGATATTAATTTTTATATATTTATTAGCTAGTTTGATTTCCTTTTTTTCACTTTTCCTGTGCGTGTCATTTGTTTGTTGGTTTATTTGTTGAGTGGTGCTCATGGTACTGGGGATTGAGGCTTTGCAATGAACTACATCTCTACCCTGTTTCTTAATTTTTTACTTCAAGACAAGGTCTCACTAAGTCACTAAGTTGTGCAGGCTAAGCTTGAACTGCTTTCTTTCTGCCTCAGCCTCCTAGATATTAGGATTACAAATTTGTACCACCACACCTAGCTGATTTATTTTTTAGTTGTTATGTGTGGTTTTTTAATCTTTGTTTTGTGGAATTCCTCACAAAGTTGAATATATTATTCCTTCAGTTTTATGAAAATGTATGTGGGAATTTTATAATATCTTTATGCTATCAATTTCTAACAATTTGTTATCTTTAAAAAAAATTCAGCATGATTTCTATTCTCTTAAATTTGCTTTTTTCTTTCACAGACCAAAATATCTTAATGTTCCATTTGCACCTGAAAAAACAAGTTTAGTCTGCTGCTATTGCATGGAATGTATTACATGTGTCAGTTAGATCAAGTTGGTTCACAGTGCTGTGACTTTCTATTTATTTAATTCCTAAGAAGCATAAAGTTTCCATCATAATTTTGGTCTTGTATATTTTTCTTATAAATCTGTGTTTGCTTTTTATACTTTTATGCATTATTTTCAGGTATAACATACATGTTTTGGATCATTGTATCTTCTAGGTACACCGGTCTTTTATTAAATATTATTATCTCTGTCTCAAAATAATCCCCGTTATGACATCAAAATCCATCTGATTGTAATTTTATTCTGGTTGTTTTTTTTTTACCATTTTTATCTATCTACATCTTTATACTTACTGTGGGTTACCTGTAGATAGCCTGTATTTGGGTCACTTTGGTTGTAATGCAATATGATGATCATTGTCTTTTAAGGAATATATTCATATGATTTATATTTAACATAATTTGATATCGTTCCATCTATTCTTTGGTCTATCTGCCTCATAGTAGATTCAGCAGCTTATGATTCCATTTTTATCTCTACTATTAGCTTGTTAATGGATCTCCCATCTATTTAACTATGTTGTATGCTTTTTTCCTATTAATAATGTTAACACATTAATATACTTATCTGAATTCTCTGTATGACTTCCATTATTTGGGTCACGTAAGAGTCTGATTTTCTTGACAATGATAATGTTTTGGGCTTGTTTTTTGGGGTTTTTTCCCCCCTTTCCTCTTTAAGTTTCTCATAATTCTTCTTTGAATGCCAGACATTTTTTTTAGGACAAAAGCCTCTGACGTTTCAGCATCTGTACTTACAAAAGGACGTAAACTCTTCATTTGGTAAAATATTACAGTATAGAGTTCAATCAATGAAGCTTCAGCTTCAGGGGATTAGGCTTTTGCTTTTGCCAAGGTGACATGCAGTTTTTTGTTTTTGTCTGATACTGGGACTTGAACTCAGGACCTTGTGCTTGCTAGGCAGATGCACTGCCACTAAATTCCAGGCCCAAGGTGACATTCAGTGTAGTGCAAGGATTGACGTTCTTCTGTTGACACTTTGTGTTCAAGAAGGTGATGGAAATTGGTGGACTGTTTTTCTTATTACTCCATTCCACCTTCTGCTTTAGGTTTTCTCTGTGACTTCTGCTCTCTAATGCATTCATGAAAGGTTAAGATTTCACAGGCTATTTTCTCATAAGTATGTTAGCCATATTCTTTCCAGCTGTCTACTTATGTGAAATTCTTGAATACTTGATATTTAACTTTAACTCAAACTACAAAATTCCTCCAGAACATTTTGAGAAAGATTTCATAATGGATAGAAGGGTTCAATTAATATATGCCACCATAATTTAGAGGGATCTGGTAATAAAACACAGCCATTTGGTAAAATTAACAACCCTGGCTAATACTCATCAAGTGCTTAAAAAGCACTAGGCAGAATGAAAATACTTTTTATCTTTTATCTTATATACATATCTTACTGAAGTCACATGACTACAAGATGCTCTATTACCGTTCAAAGGCTCAGCTCTATGCCACTATACTGTACTGTTTCTTTCTGATGCCAGAAAGTTACTTTTTCTTTTGTGGAAGGTAATCTTTTCATCCATTTTTCTATGCTCTTTTCTTAATATTTTGTAAAGGAGCAAATCTTAAGAATTTGGCAAAGTAACATTTCTATCATGACTATATTTTCAGTTACAAAAGATTGACGAGCTGTCTACCATTTAACTTATGCAGTATTTACTGTATGATATAAAGTTTTAAAAAGTTTTGAGATTGGGGTATGGAAAAAATTCCTTATTTTTATTCTAAAACTATCATATTCATCTTTCAGTTTTAAAAGAGTTTGTCTGCTCATAAATTCCATCACTTTCTTGCTGCTATTTCTGTCCAGCAAATTATTTCTTTATTCACGAGGCAATAAAAGGTCACTGGAAAGAAGAATATAATATTCACTCTCATAAAATAAAGTTAAACAGTATTTAGCATTTATATCTTTCCAGTGTAGTAAACAAAATATGGTTTATTTGACTCGATGAAGACCTATGATACCAAAAAAGATAAATGTAATGATTTGTTTGAACACAGGAAGATAAATCTTCCACAGTATGCCCTCAGTGGTGACATGTTGCCATTGTCCTAGTTTTCTGAAAAATTAGACAGAAAGGCAGAGCAGGCCTGGCTTCTTCCTCCAAGCATCCAGATCCTGGTCCAAAGCTACAGGCTAAGGAGACCAGCTGAATAAGTACAATTCATGTTTTGTTTACTTCCTTTGCTTTGCATCCTACTTATTGAAATAATATTGACATTGCTCCTTATATTTGCAAGAGAGAATAGAAAAAGTAAAGGTCAATTGCTCTTTTTAATTTGCTTTAATTTCAGTGGATGTCAGAAAGAATGTAAAACTTTCTGACCTTTCCTTACATGTATGAGATAATTATTTCATTTTTTTAAATAATCAGATCTGTGGTTATAAAATTTGGCATTATTAAAATTGAGCTGGAATTTAATATAAATGCAAATTTCTTATTTTTATAAAATCTCTATTTTATTTATAAAAATATTATATACAGAATTGGCTTCAGAAAATTTTCTTTATACTTTCCAATCACTTTGGTTGCCATAACTGAAATATCCAATTAAAATACATCAAATAGGTATCTCTTAACAAGTCACATAGCAAAATAATTTATTCTTCCTGAGAAAAACTACGTGGTTTGAAATTTTTTAATGTATAGTCCATTCTTATAAGAAGACAATGAGTAGGAAGAGAAAAAAAAGAAAGAAAAGCAACTGAAACAACAAATGCTACAAACTATAGGATGGAGAGCTTTTGTTTTCTATTTCTTAATCTAGTCATTTCCAAATGTTTTTGATGCTTTTCAATATATAAAATGTAAATCTAGCTTCAAAAGGTACCAACTTCCTCTAATGCTATTTACAGAAAAGAAATTCTATCAAGTCCTGTTACATTGCTTACAGTCTTTTTTCAATTTATTTTTTATGCATTTTGTTTTTCATTATCAAATAAAAATCAGTCTCATGCTTTTATAAGCCTTTTATAAAAAATTCTCTGTTAAACAACAGAGTCTGGCCTTTTCTTTTTATCTGTCTAATTAAAACACTGCAACCTGAGGAAACCATCAGTTAGATCCCAGAAAATGGCATTTATTTTCACCTCCTTTTGTATGGCAAGAAAAATGGTGAACAGAACAGAAATGTGCTGGTCCCTAAAATTAGATATAAATTCACTAATATTCAACCTACAAAATCTTCTGGGTCTTCAGAAATAGCACCCAGTAATTTATTTAGACATAAATCAACTTGCTTTCATTCCACAGCTCAGCTGTGTTGAGCTCATTTTTCAAACAAACTTAACATTTTATGATTGTTCATGCCTTCTGGAGTCCTACATCTATTTTCTTCCTTAGCTGTCTCTCCCAGGTTTGAAACAAACACCATACATCATGGTACAACTCTATCACTTACCAAACTCATCATACTGGGCTACCATTTTGCATTTTTTTGTTGTTGTTGTTCTTAGCTAACTCTTATCAATATGGTTATTGGCGATTATGAGAATTTGGGGGGTTTAATTTTGTTTGGTTGTGTTTTGATATGGCTTTTACTATGAATAAAAAGTCACATTGCTGTATTAGTTAAAGGCATAGGCAAGATTTTTTTGTGTGTGTGTGCTGGGGATTGAACTCAGGACCTTGTGCTTGCTAGGTAGGTGATGGAATCACTGAGTTAAATCCCAGTAAAGCAAGATCTTAATAACTGCACAAATTACTGCCTCGACTTCTTTGCTTGTGTCCCAGAAGTATCAATAAAGCCACAAGTTGTTAAAAGATTGTTGGTAAAAGTTGTTACAAGATTGCTTTTGAGGTGCACTGGCATTAATAAATAATGTCATATAAACAGTGCAATCAATTTATGTTTAATGAGCATCTATAAATATTATGACTGGTTGAATATTTACAGGGTAGTTAAGAAGGACATTCTCAAGAAATTTAGTTTCTAGTATAAAAAGTTTAGACAGATGTTTAGTGAAGCATAATATGTTTACAAGGATCACATATATAATTCATCTCAGTATATGTAATAAAGACATGTAAGAAAAAAACAGAAAGTGTTAAGTAATCATTTTGAAAGTAGTCAATCTATACAAATGTTTACCTAAAAAACAACTGGCCAAATTAACTTCATACAAAAAGAATGTAAGCACTGGTTCCAAAAGCAGCAGCTTTACTAAAAAAAGCAAGCACCAGATTTAGAGTTAGAAAACTTAGGTATTGTTTCTAACCTGATCACTCAGGCCATGTGGTCTTACCAATTAACTTGACACTCTAGGCTTTTCTATCAATTGCTTTTCCATAAACTGAGAGGTTTGATCTTGTGACCTCCACGGAGATGTCCAACTCCACAATCTAAAGAGAAAGAAGCCAACAGTAAAGAATTAGAGAATTGTTTGGCTATGAAGAGACCAGATACTCTCTTATCCAAGGAAGGAATGGTTCAAGTTTAGAAAAACTGCCATAGTACAGAATTTCATTCCAGAAAGCCTTCACAGATATCTGTAAACAACACCCAAGATAATTTCAATCATCCCTCACTTGATAATTTTTATTTTATATGAAAAGTAGTTTCAGGTACAAAATATAACAGACATAACTAAGCAAGACTATGTTTAATTTTCAGACACTTTTGATTTATGACAGGAGTTTGGACTTTGGAAGGAGTACACCACAGTGTAACGTTGCTTCCATCACTTTCTGAGTACTGAATTGGAGCAAGCTATACAGTGAGTTTTAAAATACCTATTTCAGAAAAGTAACCTACGGTCAAGTGAAATCAAACACATATAGTGAACATTGTTCCTGGTACTGTACAGGTATTCAAAAATACTAACACCTTTAAAAATTAAAAGACTAATATATTAATAATAGACATTTTGCTTTGGCCATTTATCACCAAATGTATTTTCTTATGGGTCTGGATGAATTCTTCTGATAAAAGTAATTGCTCATAAAAAGAAACACACAATTGAAATGACAGTTGAATGTACTGAGGAAACAATTCTGTTTACAGGCTGCCACCCCCACCATCTCCAGCGCCAGAGGAGATAACATCAAAAGAATAAAATATTTAAGAAGAAACTTTATCAAAGAGGTAAAATACTTATGCCCTGAAAACTACAAAACACTCATAAAAGAAAGGGACATAAATAAATAAAAAAGACATCCTGACTTCTGAAATTAGAAGACTCAATATTGGTAAAATTTCCATTCTGCCCAAAGCAATCTACAGATTCAATAACATCTCTATCAAAATTCAAATGGAATATTTTATAGATAGAAAACTGTCTTGAAATTTATATGGTACTACATAATATCCTGGAGAGCCAGCAAAATCTTAAGTTAAAAGGAAACAAACCTGGGCTAGTCACACTTTCTGATGTAAAATATATAATAAAGCTATAGAAATTAAAACAGTATGGAATTGAGCTAAAATCAGACATAAACCAGTGAAATAAAATAGACATCCCAGAAATAAACATATGATTCATGTACAACTGATCATTAATAAGATATGTGATCATCAAATGTTGGAAAATTGGATATTCACAAAAATTGGGAACATTGTACACCAATTGTGGCAAACCTATTGCACACATGCCACAGCCAGCTATTAATTATCTCCAAAGACTCTTAATGCTTTTTCAACACTGTTGTATACCACATGTAAAAATCAACATGTAAAAATCAAACGACAGGAGCAAAAACTGACCAATGGGATTACACAGAACTACAAAGCACCTGCATGGGAAACAATCAATCAAATGAAAAGGCAACTTACAGAATGCAGGAATATATTTGCAGATCCATCTGATAAGAGGATGCTAGTCAAAAAGAATGAGACTGCTATAATACAACAGTAAAAACAGGTAATCAAATTTTTGAAATGTGCCAATGATTCAAATTGACATCACTTCAAAGAATACATCAAATGACCAACAGGCATATAAAAAGATGTTCCCCATCACTTATCATTAGGGCACGCAAATAAAATTCATGATATGGTATCACCTCACATCTGTTCAGGTGGCTGTTTGTTTATAAAAATATAACATGCATTGGTGAGAATGTAGAATAATCAGAACCCTGGGAAATGGGTGGTAAAAATGCACAATAGGATAAGTCATTATGGACAGCAGCACAGTTTTCTGTAAATTTTTAAAAATAGAGCTACTATATGATTAAAAATTAAAATAGAACCAACATATGACCCACATCTAAAGATACATAAAGGTTATTTGAAATTAGGCTCTGACAGAGACATCTGCATGTCCTGTTCACTGCAGTTATTCCAAAAGGCCGAGATGTGAAAACAGCTCAAATGTCTGCGGACTGACAAATGGATACAGAATATGCAGAACATACATCAATGGAAGATCAGCTGGCTTCAAAGAAAAGAAGGAAATTCTGCCACATTCAACAACACAGATGAACCCGTTGAACATTATGTCTGGAAGCCAGTCACAGAAAGACAAATACTGTGATTCCACTTTTATGAGGTTTCTAAGCACTCAAATTCACAGAAACAGGATGGTACCAGAGGATGAATAGATGGCACACGGGGAGTTGTTACTTAGTGGGTATCTTAGTCACACTCTTCATTGCCGGGACAAAATGTTCCTTAGAGGAGGGGTTTATTTTTGCTCACATTTCTAGTACATTAAAAATACTGGCCAGCTCCACGGCAGGAAGTCATGGCGGAATGGTCTGATAGAGGAAAGTTGCTCATGTAATGGTAGACAGGAAGCAGACAGAATGCGGGAGCAAGCCAAGGAGGGATATGGATATATATATATATACACTCCCCAGGCTACCCTCCTCTTATAGCCAGGCCTCGCCTTCCAAAAGCACATGTGCGCTGAAATCAGCAGTAGCTGATTGCACTGATGAGTACAGTGACCCCCACAACCCAATCACCTTCCACAAACCATGCCTGTGAGCACGTGAGGCCTTCATGGGACATTCTTGATCTACAGCATAACTGTGAATTTAGTTTCAGTCACTACCGGTGAGTCCATTCTAAACTTCTGTTGGACAACAATGTGCTCATAGTTAATAATATTGTATTTTCAATTAAAATGTATTAAAAAAGGTAGATCTCATGTTAATTTTCTTACTACAATTTTTAAAAGTAAAAATAACATAAGCCTATTAACAACAATAGAAAAAGTTAAGCTGATTTAAAAATGGGCGAACGACCCAAGTAGACATTTTGGAAAGAAAATACACAAATGGCCAACAAGTCTAGGAAAAATATGTTCATCATTACTCACAAGGGAAATACCATTCAAACCCACAATGAGATATCATCTTTTCTCAGAATAGTTATTACCAAAAAGACAAAAACAGCACATGCTGTGAGAATGCAGAGAAAGGAAGCTCTCGTACACTTGGGTAGGACAGTGAATTAGTACAGACACCATGGAGAACAGAAGGAACGTTCCTCACAGAGCTACAAAAATCCAGCAGCCCCACTCCTGTGTAGCCAAAGGAAAAAAAAACTCAATATATCAAAGAGATCTGCACTTTCATGTTTACTATGGCACTAGTGACAGTAGTGATTCAACCCAGGTGTCTATCAGCAGATGAGTGAATAAAGAACTGTGGCACATACACACCATGGAATAGTATTGACCTATAAAGAGAATGAAGTTCCATCATGTGTAGGAATATGGATGGAAATGGAAGATATTATGGTAAGTAAAAGAAGTCAGGCACAGAAAAACAACAGGCACATGTTCTCACTTATATGTGGTACTAAAAAGTAGTAAAAAAATAGAATTTTTTTTTTACCAGAGAGCGGAGGAAGAGATGGAGAGAGAATGGTTAGTAAGTAAAATGGTTATATAGAAGGTTATATAGTTATATAGAAGGAATAATTTTGAATGTTATTCAAAACAGAATGACACAATAGAATAACTATAGTAAACAACAGTTAATTTATATTTCAAAGTAGGTAGTAGGATGTTTTCAACACGAAGAAAAGATGTTCTGAGGTTAAGGCTATTCCAATTACCCTGAACTAATCTAATCATACCTTACCCCATAATCAAAATGTGTTGATTAAAAATGTGAAGAAAGATGAGGGGCTCCATTCTCCTAGCTTACCTGCCCAAGGGTGAATAAGGGGGGAAATCTGCTATTATTCTGTGATCTGATACAAAGACCAGGCTACCCAAACATTCACGAGCAAACTCCACCCGGATGTCCCAGACAGGTGTGGCTTCACCTCCATCCATGTGAAAGTCTCCATCCACTCAAGAGACGGTGGCTGTCAGTCTCCCCGGAGAGAAGTGTCACAGCAGCTGAACATGTCTCACTGAACAGTCTGGTGCCTCTTGAGAGGAAATAAATACTCTGCTGCCTGGGTACTGTTTGGGGTTAGCAAGGGAGGCCACCCATGAAATGCTGAATTGATTGCTAAACTCCATTTGTGGTTTCCTACAGATCTCTGTGAAAAGATGTTGAGATCACTAAAACATAGTTTGCTTATAGTATTGCTATCAGGTGTACACGGTTATCCTAAGAACAGTGTGTGCAACATTTGTGTGCCTGATTGAATTTCAAAGCCCTTTTCTTCATGCCTCGGAAAACATGATTTAAAACAAGACCTCCGGAAAGGTGTCTATTAACCCTACTAATGAGCAGATATAATTTTTGTCACTTGCAGATGACACTCAATATGGCTTTGGACTCATATTTCAGAGAATATTTCCACGTGAGATTCATTCTAGCAGAAGAAATATTTCCTGACTACTGACCTGAAGTAGCTGGCCAGGATGTGCGTGCTTCACAGCAGATGCCAGACTGGACTAAGCTCATCCCGGGGGCAGAAGAGTTCAGAAAAGGAAATTCTTTAGCTGAGAGAATAATCTCATGTGATGTTTGACCATTCCTAGGGATGGCAAGGGCATAGATAGCTCCAAGTTGCTTCAAGCTCTCCTACAGAGTCTTCTACTTTCTTAAACTTACCCAGAAAGTGCTTCCTTTGGGCAAAGAATTTAATTAAACCTACTAATAAGTTCCATGAAATAGTTTTTAATATTTTTATTGGTACATTTTAGATACACAACACAGTTCCACTCTTCATCGGGAACTCGTGCATTTACATGACGGATCCTGGTTCTTATTTCTTCCCCCTTCCCCTCCCCTCCCTTCCCCACTCCACCCTTCCCTATTTACAAAGACTTTGTTTCCATTTTGTCCTTTTCTGTTATCTTTTCTCTTCCGTTTTCACCTTTTCTCTACCCCTCCTATTTGCCCAATACCGTTTGACCTTTTTATCCTATTACAAAATATCAATTAGAGGAGAAAGGAACCCTTCTCCATTGTCAGTGGGAGTGCAGACTGGT